AATTATACTTGACCCTTGTTTTAATTTTTCTTAAAAAATCTCCCAAACTCAAATTTTACTCATTTTTTAAAGTATTCTAATTCTTGTATAATTCATTTTTTCTCAAAAATTTAATAAAATAAAAATAAAATAAAATATTTTAATTATTATGTATATATTCATAATCCGTAAAAACTATTCCGAACTAATTTTCAGGATACGGTGTTATATTAGTTATAAATATGAATGAGGTGGAGGTCAATTCCAAAATTGTAGCATCCCAAAAAAAAAAAGGGGGAAGAAAGGAAAGTAATAGAATTCAGACAAGCGGAAAAGGAAGTGAGCAGAAAGATTGGACAAGTACACTTGGTAACCATCAAATGGCCGTAAAAATGCCCTGAATCATATTGCCCCCGCATGGAGGACCCCATGAAATATCAAGATTACCCTTAATGAAACGTAAGAAAAATCAGACGGCCACGGTTTTATCCCTAGATCCAATGGTTCTCCTTTCACCTCACTTGTATATAAATATATATATCCTTTACCAAGCCGGCACCCAAGAGAGGGAAACCGATCGGTGAGGAAAGATCGTGAGAGTGGGAAACAAGTGGAGAGGCCGCGCATAAAAGAGAGAACGGGGAGCTCCGACATCACTACCATCAGGAGTCTCCTTCCATTCTGGGTAGGATATTGCAGGTTACGGAGGAGAGGGGCGACACTGTCGTGAGTGACTCTCCAAACTGAGACTCGGGGTAAGAGTGATTTATAATCTAAATCCTCTAATCCAAAATCCAAAATAATGTAGTGATTTTTTTATCTCATTCTCATGCTTGTAGTGGAATGATGCAATAAATGATTTTTTTGAATGGTTATAAAGTATAAAATACTTTAAAAAAATTGAGTGTGTATTGATTAAGTGATGGTATGGTGAGATAAGCTTGAAATCTGGTGCAATGGGATGCGATTTAGGGTTTTAGATTGCTACAATAGTCGGGAGGAAAGAGGGGAAACAGATTTAGATTGGGCTAATTGGGCTGGGTAGGGTATCTTTTAGCGTCGAGGCCTAAATCTTTAGTAGCCCGAGTCCATGAAAAAAAAAACAGATTTACTAGTAGGCCTCATAGACAAAAACGAGAAAAGAAGAAATCAAGGTCTGGTAGGCTGAGCTGTTCAAAAGCATGGGCTATAAATAAAGAGATGGGTTGGCTTAATGAAAAAAAAAGATAAAGAAAATAATGAAATAAAATAAAGGTACTGAGTAACAAAATAAAATTAAAAATAATAATAATAATAAAAAAGGAAATGTGATCATCAGTTAGGTAGGCTAAAGCCTCACTGGGCCTCAGGTCCATGTGAAGCTTACGTTGAGATAGGGCTTAATTGGGCTAAGGTGAAACGGGCTTCAAAACGAAGTAAAATAGGTGGATTTTAACGAATTGGTTTAAAAAGCAATATTAGTGGGCTGAAGGAAAATTTGTTATTGGGCTTAGACCTAGAAGAAATTAGTTTTACTTGGGTTAAAAAGATAATTTTACTTCAGCTCCTAGACTAAAAACTATTCAAACAGATCACTACCCATCAGTGAATGCACAGTAAGGGGCTGTGTGAATAAATATAAAAATCAGGGGCCAAAAGTCTTGAGAATTAGTAAGTTAACTCAAGAAAATTTTATTAAATCCCTGTAAAGGTAGTTATATATATATGGTAGTAATAATAGCCTAGAAAAATTAATTAATTAAGTAAATAAGAGAGAAATTCTTAAGTTGAATAGATAAATATAAATATATACATATATACGTTTATAGTGTTTGCAAAATGTTTACGGAGTGATGGAAGGAATGCAAATATTTGAGGTTCTTTATAAAATAGTATTATAACAAATTATTGGAAGAGTCTGATTTACAAGATGATTAAAATATTTCATGAATTGAAGATTTTTGAAAGACAAGTGCATGAATCAAGTTGTTTTTTTTTTTTTGTGATCATGGAAATTAAATAATTTTTGAAGTGATGAGATTGACGATTTGTGATTTAGTAAGGCTGTAAGAAATAATGAGATTAGAACTCACACAAAAACTAAATGAAGGTACACAGGTAGATTGAAATGTAATTTAAGATAAATTATAGTAGGAAATACACAGGATAGGCAGTAAAGAATTATTATCAATAAGATATGAGTAAATGTGCAGTCCATGATCCATTAAGAGTGATTATGAACTCTATCTCATGGACCATTTATTGCTTCATAACTATGATAGTAACTATGACTGTGTTTATGATTATAACTATGACAGTAACTATGATATGTAATGTGTAACTATGACTAAGTCCATGTTGATAGTGTGAGTAATCATTTCCTCTCGTGATTGTGACTAAATGATCTTATATAAAATAATACAGATTTATGCATGTGTATTGGTTGTGTTTGATGAATGATGAGAATTTACTATTAGATGAATATGTGTTTAAGGAAAGGTATAGTGTGAGTGAATATGTGTTTAAGGAAGGGTATTCTATGTGTGCATACGTGTTTAAGGAATGATATTTGAATACGTATAATTAATGTGATTATGATATTGTGTTTATGAGATTTGAGAATGAATCAAAAGTAAATTACAGAATTGTAAGTTATGCAATTGTGGGCATCTTTTGAATGAAGTGAGGTACATAAGAAGTGAAAACATGTGATTAATAGATCGATATAGTTGTTGTTTGAGTGTGGGAATATGATGGGTGTGAAGGGTGCGGTAAGTTTGGAATGAAGCTAATGGGTCGAATCAATATATTATCTCCAGTTTTTTGAATTTGAGTTTTAAGTTATTTTTATTGAGCATGTGGTGGCTCACTCTTTTTTATCATTTAGAGAATAGAAAAGTCAAGAGTAGTTTCAAGATTAAAGGAGAACAAGAAGAATCCTTTTATAATTTTGAAAAATTGTTTGTAAAGTAGATCTGAAATTTATTGTAATATATTATTAAATATTTTTATGAATTTTAAGAACTATAACTTTGTACAATGAGTGTATGATTAGTTTTAAATTTTAGCATATTATTGAGTCATATATCAAATTTGATATGTGTGGTACGCTCATTTCTTATTGGAGAAAGTGGGTTGTTACAAAAAGAGTACAAAGATGTGAAGGTAGGTAGTGTACATAAATTTCAAAATGGAATTAAACAAGGTAGATAAGTTTTAGTATAAAGTAAGTAAAGTATGCCCGTGAAATTCACTCCAATGCACACCCCCTATTTTAGATAAGTTTAGAAGCAAATTTGAGACTATTAGGAGACATGGTGGAAGACCTTCTAGGTTTTGTCCAAAATTGGTACTGTAGATAGATTAAATAGAAAATTATTTGTACATAAGAACTTAATGCCTCGCGTATTTTATTTTATTTTTATTACAAGGAATGTGTATTTATGTGTAATTTCACTATACGTGACTGTATTATTTTTTTCCAGTATTTCGATATAGTGTGCAAACGTGTATGTTCCCTTGATTGAGAATTGGGGCGTTGTATAGAGAAATATGTTTCGTTTATCCATATAATCATGTAAATAATTTAGAATATGTTGTGAATATTTGCAATTTGTTCTTGTGCTTGATAATTGATAACACGTGGCTAATACTTGTGGTATTACATACACAAGCTCATTGACTCGGCTGGTAAAACATTTAGGAAAAATCATATATTGATTAGAAAGCTAATTTTTCAAAAGTTCAAAAATTTTCTTTCATTTTTTGAGCATATTGCACTATAAATTATGTTTTGTCATCAATAGAAAAAGAGATTATTAACATATTTACTTTTGATTTTGATGAATAACATAAATAAATTATTACTAACAAAGTATTTTAAGACCATTGCATAATTGTATAATTAGTAAATTTCAATTTTGCTTAAGTTCATATCAACTTAACATTTTTTGAAGACAAATACTTTTGACAAGAATTTATAAGTATATAAAATTGATCTTGGCATTTTCGAAGCTAAATATTATCTCACTTTGATTTTAAAAATATTTTAAAAATTATTTTAATATCTTTGAAACAAAATATTTGTTGAAAGAATTTTAATCACCAAGCATTATAAGTAGGAGCATTAGAACCAATAATAGAAGAATTTTGGAGCAATATTTCTAAATTCAAAAGATTAATTTAAAAAATAAATTCTAAAACTCTAAGAAAACTTGCAAAATCAAAATCAAAGTTTTGATTGAGTAGTAGATGAGAAAAACTTAATGCTGGGATTGATTGTAGCATATTCGAGCAGCTCTTGGTTTGTCTCGAGAATTCTCATCTCTTCTTCATCCAATGTCAAGATGACTTCAATCTCATTGCGAGACCTTGTGTCCATCAACGCTACAGTGTTGCTCACGATCTTGTTAATGCTCACATGCCACAGCACTTTCCCCCAACCAAATTCAGTGTCATAAAGCGGAAGCTTGCACCAACTTGAACACTTATAAACACTCATGTCTCCTGTCTTCTTAAAAAACTCTCCTCTCTCCTTCAATTTCTCAAGAATTTTGATTGTACCATCTTTGCCTTTAAACATATTTGCATCATTGTTGCAGAAATGGTTGAATGATTTTCTCATTTGAATCACCAACTGCACCAGCTCCATGTCCTTTTCTTCTTCCACCACCACCATAAATGGCCAAATGAAATTCCCCATTGCAGTTTCGGGCAACGGAGGACTCATTCTTTGACGCAAATTCACTGCTTGGAACATTACAGACGGCTTGAATTCACCCATATTCTTCGCCTGCTTAGCAGCCACAGCTCACTTCCATATCAATGCAAGTACCATCTCAACGCGTGAAGCGTGACACTGCATCACTTGCCCGAATTCTGGATCAACTCTCACCTTTAACTCTGCCAGCTTTGCAGCTGTGAACACGAATCTTTTCATCGAAAATTTTTCTGCCTTGATGTTGATTGAGGCAGACATGTTAGGCAAGTCAGGTTTGGGTGGCAGAAGGTTTGCTCCTAGGAACAATTCTGGTACAACTGGTTCATTGTCTCCTAGAGAAAACTTTGTCCAGGTTTGGAAAAGAGTTACGAGACTTGGTAAGTCGACCAATTTGTGAGTAGGGGAAACACCTACAGCAACACCCCCGCAAATGAAGCTAGTGAACTTGACAAGCAACATGGCGCCATTAGATATGGTCATGGTTTCATTATCACTGATGGGTAAAAAATGGTCCATGAGATCCAAATCTGGGTGTTTAAAGAAATCTGATAGGGTGAAGTTGATTTGGCCTTCGACAAAGCAAACACCTTCATCGTTACAGTCGATGGTGGTGGCATCTCGGAGGCGGCCAGCGAGAGGGTAGATGAGATTTAAAGTTTTGGCAAGTGATTGTTGAAGAAGTTTGGATTTGGTTGAGAAATCAGTGGAGGAGTTTGAAGGAAGAGAAAGTCATGTTGGTATAGATAGGAGAGCGAGCTGATCAGAGAGAGAGCCTGAGTTTCTGCGGTTGGGAAGTGTGGGATTAGAGGGTATCA